ACAGAATATCAATGTTTGGTTACATCATACCGTGAATATTCTTAAATCTAAATTAAATTGTTGGACTAAAATATGATTATAGTAAAAAATATAATGTACTTTTTTTGAACGTTGATTATTGAATACTAGATAATATTGCAACAATTATTACTCACATTCTTGATCAAATTTCAATACCGAATGACAATCTTTCACGATCCTTTCTATTTCTTTTCCACTTATCCTTCGCACAAAATGAGAAATTTAGGTTCACAATTCAAGTATTCAGACCGTCAAGTGTAAACTTTAAACTATCGTTCCCACACAATAAGATATAACTCGATTCGACTCAGCTTTACTTCGAAACACCGATAAACAAACAGCCATTTTGTTCGAAACGCATTTGAATCGTAGACCCGCGCGTCCGTCAGATGTCGTCGTTGCATAATTCCCAATTACGGGACGAATTCACGAGGTTCGACTGTGGCGACCTCGCGGCGACCTTCTTCCCTTCGGGAGCAGCTCGAGCCTCGAGAACAATCGAGGCGAAATTCACTCGCGGCGGCAGCCGGCGAGGAAAGAACGCGTTATCTCGGATCGGGGATCTCCTCGGCTTCGACCGGATGTCGAGGCCTCAAGGTTTCGGCGCCGACTTTGACCGTGACGGCTGCCTCCGCTGTCGGCGGCAATTATTCCTGCTTGCTGATGCTTCCAATTGTTGTGACAGCCACGCTTTTTTATAAGTAACAGGCATCCTTCTTATATGTACCATGCAATTTTTTACAGAGTGTACGCGATGTTTAGCGTTCTCTCTTCTTTGGAATTTTTCTCGTTTAACTCTTTGAGAGTCGAAGTTTGTTCGTTTCGACTCTTAGATGCGTAAAAAAAACGGGATTATTTTAAAGCGTTGAACGACATACATGCGAGATGATGCGAAAATTAAAAAAAGGAGAATGGAATATTAAAAGTTCTATTCTTTGTGGATTTACAGTTGTTTCAATTTTTCAAGGTGGATCGAAATTGTTAAAATAAAAATTTGTTGGATAAAGAATAATGATTAAAATTTTGAAACGAGGGGGAACTTCTATAACGATAAACTTTCCATTTCTATTTCGGAATAAAGTGAGGACGCGTTATGGCGAGTATCGATAACGTTAATGACAAGCAGTTAGTGGCCGGTTATCTGCGAGGAAAACCACGCTCGAGATCGATGCATGCAGCCACGATCAAGGAACATATAAAATGCACGGGTTATTGTCGCCGGGATCCTTACCGACAGCTGCTCGTTAGTTGTTGCCAGCCGCGGAGGTGAACCAGTCGAACCTACTCCTATACTGGGTGTTTCGCTTCAAACCGATTTTTCGAGCTTACTAAAAAAACTTACGATTTTTCGTGAAATTCTGCCAATATTCTCATCTTCTTCGATTCGCATCTTATTCATCAAAATTGATATTTATAAATTATTTCGAAGATTCTTACTCCGTGATACTTTATCGAGAAATTTCGATCGTTCGAATCGTGATTTTAATTTTTTGGGGAACAACAGAAATATCTGCGCATATTCATTTTACAATTTCTAAAAGTGTTCATAAAGTATCAATATTTACGGAGCATTTTCATTACGAACTTTTACAGACGATTCGTTATGAATAACGAACGAAGAAGAAATCTTCAAAAAAAAAAAAAAAAAAATAGAAATCCACGATTTCTGGCGAAACACCCTGTTTAGCACGGCCAGAGAAACGGCAGAAGAAAGCAGAAGGCGAAGGCAAAGTAAAGGGACAGACCACGCCTTGCGCCGCCTTGGCAGTGGAGAGTTCGCCTCCGCTTCTTCGCCTCACCTCGCCTCGGGCATAACTAATATATCGACGGGCCCGCGCCTCCCTCCTCTCTCCTTTCTCTTCTTTCTTCTCCTCCTCGTCCTCCTCTTTCACCTCTGGAACCACGATTCACGTGATCCCCGAGAACACGCGACTCTAGACAGAACTCTCGATGCAACTTTCCTGCTTTCGTCTTTCACGCTCTGATTTCACGTGTTTCTTTCTTGTTTTCTTGTTTGAAAGATAGCGAGAATATATTTAGTTGTTGGATCGAATTTTGAAATCTGTTGAAAAATTTAAAAAGAAATATTTTTCATGAAAAATGTGAGGAATAATGATTGAAAACAAAAATCGAGTTTATTCATTATGTGTTTGAATAAATGCATACATACGTCTTTTCGAACAAGTCAATCCTTATCCTTTACTCGCATCGCATTATTTGCAATTTTTACATATTTCCACAAAGAAGTCGACCTTATCCTTGACTCGTATCACTTGCAATTTTTACGCGTTACCACAAAGAGTTCGGCCTTACCCTTGACTAATGTCACTTCATTTGCATTTTTTTCTCGGTCAAAACACTTTTCAGCAAGGTAACGAATCGATCTTTTCTTTGTCATGGAAATGTCATGGAAACGAGTCAGTGTTAATTAGTAATTCCGGAAGTGTTTCGCGACTCATATTCGTTTTTTTTTTCATCTCTTGTCCTACCGCAAAATTTCCTCCTTTTTTTTTTTTTTTTTTTTTTTTTTCCTCCGACAACTCGCGAACATGACTGGATGCAAAGATCGCGCGAGTCTTAATCGAAGATCGAGGTGATTGAATTTAAAATAAGAGAAACACGTGTTCGACACGGTTGCGACTCAATTAACAGCGGTTAAAGGTTCGATCGTGAATGGAATGTCGGCGGGCAGCCACGGCTTGTGCCTGTGTCGCGATTGCTGGTCTGGAAAATTTTCCAGTAACCCAGTGACACCGTGCCGCGAGACCTTCGTCAGGTTGTTCCCATCCGCGCAACACTCGTTTGCCAATGATACGATCTCAAGGGTATTAACTTAATCTGCTGGCGTGACACGCGTAGAATGCCGATCTTCTTCCTTTCCTTGCCTTTCCTACGCATCCACAAATTTCTTTATCTATCCAGGAAAGGATGTATGGGGTATTTTATCCTGAAAAGAATTTGATCTATGTTCAATTTCAATTTTTAATAGACAGTATTATGCGTAAAAAAAAAAGTATAGGTGTACTTTTGATGAATTGTAAAATTACATTGTCAGGATATAACTGGTATTCGTCAAGTAATAAACACTTTCTTCATTCATTCCATATTTTTTCTTCTAATCGCCTATTAATTATGCTACTATGTCTTTTTGAATATTGTTCTCCTTTCTATACTTGAAGATTCCATTAGCAATAATATAATTATATAAATAATTATATAAATAAATAGTAGTAGTAATATTTATAGTAAGTATAGTAAGTAATATAGTATTTATAGTAAGTAAATATTTCTTGTATCTTCATCTGTTTAGAAATTGTAATATATATATGTTTATAACATCTTTCAATCACTTCATACAGAAGTTTGTTATAAAGATCTCTCTCTGATTCTATTTCTCACTTTTACATTTTCTCTAACTGTTCACATCATACCTTTTCCATCATTTGGATTTCTATCATTCCATCTGCAAGAGAGCAAATTCTTTTCTCAAAGAAAAGTCTCATTTTTTTCAATGTCAATTTTATCATGACCATAAAGAATCTCTTTCTTGGCATTCCTTTCCATTGACTGTTCTATAGAGTTGTAGTTGGATCGCTGGAACGATATTCGATAAAGAACTTTCGGCAAAGAACCTCTCAAATCTATAATCCCGAGAAACTTGAGAAAGGAATGGGGGCGTCACGTATCGACATGCAGCGATTGACGAAAGGTTCCGCCACTTCTCACAGTGTCACTGGGTTACTGGATAATTTTCCAGGCGAGTAAGCGCGCCGCGTGAGAGCGAATCCGAGCTAGGTGCATTGCGGCAACGCGATTCGCTCGAACGTGCCTCGATACCGGGGCACGAGAGCCTCGTAAACTATTTGCGTGATCATAAAAATTCTACGGAACATTAGCAACCCGTTTACTCGCTTCGATATCGAGAACGTCACGCGCGGTTAATTGCCGGCGAACCCCGCATCCGCCATGTTTTTTTACGCTTGCCATCAATTTTATTCCTTTTCCTCGGGTTCATAATAACGTCTGAGAAAACTTTGTGACGAATATCTGATGTATCGATAATCGATCTATATCTCTTTGTTCGAATCTCAATTCCAGTTAATTTATTATTACACCACGCAGAAAAAGAAAATTCCTCGGATCGTGATCATTTTCAAGAATCCAAAAATTAGATCAAAAGTCACGTACGAGTGATCACATTAATGAATGGCCGATTAAATCTTCCATTATCCCATCTCACCTGTAAAAAATCAATATTTCAGTTAATCTATTATACGACAAAAAGAATTCCAATAATAATCATTCCGAAATTTCAAAAATTAAATCAAAAGTCACGTACGAGTGATCGCAGATCTCACATTAATGGCCGATTAAATCTTCCATTATCCCATCTCACCTGTAAAAAATCAATATTTCAATTAATCTATTATACGACAAAAAGAATTGCAAGGATAATAATCATTCCGAAATTCTGAAAATTAGATCAAAAGTCACGTACGAGTGATCGCAGATCTCACATTAATGAATAGCCGATTAAATCTTCCATCTCACCTGTAAAAAATCAATATTTCAGTTAATCTATTATACGACAAAAAGAATTCCAAGGATAATAATCATTCCGAAATTCCGAAAATTAGATCAAAAGTCACGCACGAATGATCGCAGATCGAAAGATAATTCGATCGACAAACGGTTTAACAGAGGCCGTTTAAAAGTCAAAGTAATCAGAATGCCTAGAATCTCGAGATTCCCGTGACCGCATACAGCATGTTAGACGCGAATTAATAGGCCTCATCGAGCTTCCGTTTCTATCCGTATCGCGGTAAAAAAAGCCACTATAGAGAAACTAAGCGATTACGAACCGATTCAGAGAGAGAGAGAGAGAGAGAGAGAGAGGATCGTCATCGAATAGCGCGATTGGCCGCAGGGCATGGGATCGCTTTAATCGGTAACTCTCTCGGCTGGTAAATAAATAACATTGTATTACACCGTCGCAGGCCTCCGCATCTCACGGAAGACGAACGAACGCTCGCTTCGTTTTCCCAGGCGTTGCACTCCCGTTATCGTTATCCTCTCTCACGTATATACGAATCGGCACAGGCATACGATTCAGCCTCACGAACCAGCGCCGTTCACGGCGCTAACGGTGATCGATTTTCCGGCCACGGGAATTGTGCTCGTTCGTCTCGACATTGGCGTGGCTGATCTACGAGAATTTCTGACGTAAAGTATTTCGTGAAGAGATGTTTCGTAAGAGAGAATGAATCGGAATTGAAAGGTTTGGATTGAAAGAAGATATTGGAGATGTCAGGAATAATCGAGAGTTTAATCCTTTGCGAACGAGTGCCATTTCAAGTTTTGATTCTTGACAGATCTGGGATATTCTACGTACGTGAGACGAGGAGAAGTTTAGAAAGAAGAAAAAATATATATTTTTATGAAAAGTTTGATTACTATTATATTGAACATTTTATGTAAAACTTAATTTAATTTTATTTAACTATAACTTTGACGCTGTTGTAACGACAGCATTCATCCGCAAAGGAATAATGTTATATATTTGAATAGTAATAAAATAATAGAATTATTATCGTCTACGATTCGCAACGATAATAAAATATGAATATATTATCAAGATACCTCGAGATCGAATATAATTGACGATACTTAAAATCGAAGCTTCTCGGTTATAGATACTCGATTCCTTATTTAAAATGTCCCCTATATTAAGAATTAAAAACTAATTTCCCTTAAGTAAGGTTTGCGCATCGGTTGAGTATTAAAACGGACGAACATTTTTTCCATGAAGAAATGAGTATCGATAACGGTGCCGTTTCCCTCGTCTCCTCCTCCTCATTCGCCTCTTCAATAAACAACTTCCTCTCCTCTCTATCTTCGAAACCAAATCTTTCAAATTCACAAGTTTCCACTTTCGATTCTTTTTAGATCGAAAAACGTATTCCACGTACGAAGAAATTTTGAAATTTTAAGAAAACCATCCTTTGATCTTTTCTCTATTTTATTTCTTTACTTTTTCTCTATTTTCATTTTTTTTCTTCATCCAAGAATTTTCTAATTCACAGATTTCCGTTTTCGATCCACAAAAATAAAAAATCGTATTGTATTTGGAATATAAAATCCTTCAAGAGAGGGCTTCTCTTCGGTTCTTTTCCATTCCTCTTTTTTTATTCTTTTTCCTTTCCATCTGCGTTCGACAGAAAACGATAGTTCGAGGCTCGATCGTTTCGCCGGTGGAAATTGTGCGTTGCCGGTACGTTGGCGAAACGGAAACGAAGGGCCGCAATTATACTAGTCGTTACTTTTCTCGCTGTAACCAGAGTGACTATGTATCTCGCGGTCGATTAACTGTGACCTTCGCCGCTCTAGAGAACGTAGAAACTCGGACGGACCGCTCGTACGCGCACGTCGTAGTGCCTCCTTCTATTTATGTACAGGGTGGTCCGACTACCTCGGTGCCGGGCTGCCGTTTCGAATTTGTACACCACCATGTAACTCGTGTTTCAACCATGTTCGAGATAATGGCAAACACGTACGTGGTGTAGATAATTGAATATCGTGATCGATGAGAAACGGTCTTGCTAATTTCTTCAACTTCGATCCTACTATATCTACGTAGAATAGATCAAGGTTAATTCTAAGCTGCGAATAAGATAGTTGTTCTTGTACGATAAAGAGTTTGTTCTTTGTTTATGAATCTAAAATATTAATGAATAAAATTAAAAAGATGATAATTTTTTTATTTATGTATGAAAGTTTAATTCGAAGGCAGAAAAATTTGTTTTACCTGTGTTGTTTGTAGAAATTGGCATCAGTAATCTTCTCATAATTGTAATTCAAAGTCGATCTTCAAGGAATCGAATTATTCTCTTCACGAAAGTATCGACCACCAAGAACCGTTTTCCAAGATATCGTCGAACAGAACGGAATTAATTACCTCGATCGAGGAATCACTGTAATAATCCTGTATGCGATCGAGGTCAGCCTGGGTGAAAAAGCTCGCGTATCGAACCGGTGCAATTATATTTGCAAATACGCGAGTCCCTCGCATGCGTGGCAATGCAAATCGTGCAGAGACCTTTGACTGCTCGCGCCATCCTGAAAATAAACGATTCGAACCCGTTGATTCGAGAAACGAATTATCAATTATGTTGATCAGTTGCAAAACCAAATACATATTCCATTCTATCATTTCATCATAAATATATCCAACCATCAATATTCCTACTATTAAAAAAATTCATGCTCTGAAGTATTGTTTAACAATCTTTCTCATCATCGAAAAATACCATATACCGAAGTTCTTCTCAAACACTTAATAAGAAGTTTAATAACCTCTTTCATTGCCAAATGTGTAGATTTATGCATCTTTTTAATCTTCTAATCATTCAATAATGTCTATTCTAACTCAAAAAACACCTTTCAATGATATTTCTTATAACCAAAAAACATAACCACACTTTCAAGCTTGTGCATTTCTCAAGTGTTCTACTCTATTTTATTACTTCGAAAAATTTACTTTATCACCATTTAACAATCTCCTTACACGAAAAAACAACACACACTTAAGTTCGTGCATATCATTTCCTTTTTACATCAAAGAAATCAACTTTTTATATCAAGATCAGGACGTGCTTTTAAACGCTAAGGCTAATCGGTACACGAGCGCCAAAAGGAGAAGTGCAAAGTGATGCAAATACTTTCTGATACCTTCTATCGGTATCTATTTGAACGTGTACCTTCCTCGTTATCCGTTGCCGCGAAACAGACGTTGACCGCAACACCTGCGGAAATCACGAAGGATCGCGATTGAGCTGGTTACGCAACTATAGGGGCCTTAGAGGAACGTGATGGCTCGAAATCAATTAGGGATATACGTTGCACCGGCGCCAATTAAGTTTTCTCCGGGCGACAATGATAAATTGTGCCGGTCGTCTATTGCGCTCAGTCGATTATAAAGGTCACCGAGTGAAAGTGCGCGTCGGTTAATTAATACCGATCGATACCGTGCTTGATTCGCTACGATAATAATTACCCGTGCGAAGGTATGCGCGAAAATTTCATCATTGAGATCGAATCGAACTACGCAATCGATACGTGACGATTTTCATCGATAACGTTCGCCATCTTGCTGACTACTCTCTTCTAGAATATTTTGAGAGGTTTGTGAAAATAGAAGTTACAAAGTGGAATTAAATATAATTACTATAATTTATATAAAATGAATATTATAATTATAGAAAATTATAGAGTTATATATGTAATTTAAAAAATCCTAGTGTTGATTGTATTACATAGTGATGTGCATAGTGATTTGTTATCATTTATTTCGAGAAAGATTCAAGACTTATATTTTGTCAGGATCTGTCATCGAAGGAAAAAGATAATGACAAAGGGCTTCTTGATTGTGTAGAAAAAAGAATTTATCCAATAAGATGATGACAGAATGAAATTGCAGTATCCTAAAAAGGAAAGGAAGAGGAATGATGGTTAGTTGCGCGTGCTAAATATGATATCTGCATACAGAGTGTTTCAAACTTGGATATACAAATTTTAAGGGTATTCTTCCTTATTCATTATTCCATTTATATTTATATTTTCTTATGAAGCGACACAAGAGAGCAATTTTCAAAACTTGATTAACTAATATGCATGTTCAAATTTAGAGATGTTAGAGATAGAGATAGAGATATCTATTATGCATATTCATGAACTGTAGAAATAAATCATGATTCAAATAAGGTTGAGAAGCACTGATTTAAGTCTTCCAATGTTTGATCACGGGGGAAAAAAAACCAAATGCAGTCGAAGTTGTTGGAATTCGGGGTTTTTCACGGTGGACAGGGGGCAAACCGAGCAGAGCGAAGTGATTTGGGTTGTCGATTGCAACAATGCGCTTTTGTACAGCTTGTGCAGCTCGAGGAGCAAAGACATGGTCGACGTGCGGTCGAAAGATAGCTGGATACTCGCCTACGTGCACGTGCCATGCAGTTGGACTCTTTCGTTCCGTACCATTTATTGTTACATTTTCCTCCTTCGACAACCTGGATCTACTTTGAATGTCCCTTTGAACACCTCTGGACTCGTTACCGTTACGCGGCTTCGCAGCGTATTTGCTCCTTCCTCCTGATTTGAATTTATCGGTTTTATTGGAATGGCGATGAGCCTTCCACCAGCAACTTTTCCATATGTAAATACATATCACGATTAGAATTCCTCTCGAGTAAAAATACCAACTCGGTGTAGCAGAATATTCACTTTTGTCATTTTTGTCATCTGTATCGCAAAATTGTTGCAAATATGAAACTTGCAACAATTTAACTTTTTTCAAAGTTCATCTACTTACGTACCCCAAAAATAAATAATTGAAAGTATGAATTTCTTTTGACAATTTTTAATTTGTAAATTGTAAAATTGTAAAAATCGATCTTGTATTGGCTTCAGAATTTTTTTTACGAGCAAATATATATATATATATATACAGGTTCCAAGGACACCAAACATAATTTCGAACAGGAAAGAAAGATTTTACAGCTCGATTTTTCCATGTGGCCGAGCCCCTCCAGGCTACACTCTTCCCACGAATTTCATTCTCGATAAGCGGGCAAGATTTAACTAAGATCAACGTATTAGTACGGGTGAGTAGCATAACATGGTGGAGAACGGTACATGAGACCGCGACAAAGGCCGAGGAGGTAACTTATGGGTATGAACTCTGCAAAAGGACTTCCTGTATGACCTCTGATCGGGAAACAAGGCCGTGGCCACGAGCTAACTCGTTCCAGACACTGCAAATGCGGAATATTCTCACCGTGCTCCTTTATTTTGCTCGTTATGGTCGGTCACGACAGAAAAACTTTGCGAAAAACTGCAATTACCCATATTAAATATCTACTTGCTAACTACATCATACATTTCTCTTCGAGAATCTTCGAATAATTTCATTATTTTCTAACTTGCCAGGTTTTTCATTCTTACTTAATTCACACTTAAATTTACTTAACTTAACACTCCTTCAAAGAGGAGGAAATTCAATTTTCAAGAAATTTTTACTCTGTTAAAATTACTTGCTTGACTCTTCAGAGAACAAAATTTGAGAGACATTCAAAGAACAAAATTTAATATTCAACTTCCTTCAAAAAATTCTAATTCTAAATTCTCCGTCAAATTTTATTTTCATTTGATTTACATCTAAATTCATTTACCTGTCCACAGCCAAAGAAGATTTAATTTTCAAAGAGAATTCCAATTCGTCAAATTTTACTTCGAATTCGTGCTGATTCGCTACTGATCGCACAATTTTGAAGAAAATTTAACTTTCAACGTGTTGAGAAGCGGCACGCGCGACGGTTCACCAAAATGGCCAAACAGGATAGGCGAGGGATCGAGTAGGGGGGAACCACTTTGCTTGGCAATCGCGTCACGCTCGTTTACGCTAGTTTACGCCAGTTTACACAAGCGATATTACGTTAAGACCTATCTTTATGAGAACCGACAACGTCCCATGGGGAAATATCCCGGGGTTTCAACGTTATTGGTGGACAAGAAAAAGGGAGATGAAGAAAGATGAACGCCAGTGTTACCGGTGAAGAAAGACGAAAGCTGCGTGTTCGGTGCAAAGCGAATCCCAAAGCGAAGTGTTTCCTTCGAGAGACGATCGTGGCTAAGATATGACGTCCGACTGGCTGCCAGGCTTGAAGGGCTTCGCAAACGATCGGTCGTTGAACCACGAATCGTTCTTCAAGCGTTACTCTCCCCAGAGGTGGGACGCGCAAATTTCACTCTGGCCGACATTTGCCTGTCTGGAATTTGAGCCTCCTTCTCCTCTAAGCTATTTCGAGCTTGTAGTCTCGTAGCTTTAGGAATTTGTCGAGGATATTTCTCACTGTGCAAATTTTGAGGCACCAAATCGTTCCACAAATTTTCTTCGATTTTACGTCCTCCTCGCGTCAAATTTTATCTCGAAATATATATCCTTGATTTCTTTCGAAACAAAACATTTCTACGGATTCTTCTTATCATAGAGATACAGAGAATTTTATATCTAGAAACAAAATGGTAACAACAATTTTTTTGAATCCATTTTAAAATAATTGCGTAAAATTACTATTGTTATTATCAAATTTCTTAACCACGATCTCGATGTAAAAATTCCTATTGTATTTCCTGTTGTATTGGGAATCGATGACAAAGGGGATACGATTAAAAGATACGTTAAATGGGAAAAAGCGTCAGCTGCGATCAATTTTCGCGGTAGACGCGCGAATCCTACGCCATTGCGGGGTAAGACAGAGCGACGAGGAGGAACAAAGCGACCCACGCTGCGGGTATCATCATAGTCATATTCATACACGGAGCGTAAGGGCATTTCAGCACTGGGACAATGGCGGGAGCGAATTTTTTCTTTTTTCTCTCCAAGGCTCGATTGCACCGTGCCTTCTTTGTAGCCACGCGACGACGTCGACTGCCAATAAAGGTGCCTCCTTTATGAAGCCTGCTGCAGCTGCCCCAACGGAAACGGGCCACTCTAACCGTTCTTTGTTTTCGAAATCTTTCAAACGTTCCCTCCCTCTAAATTCTTTTCTGTTGCAATCTTGAAAATGTTTCCACGCGTTTCGAGGATTCGTCGCATTCCTTGAAGGCTTGAAAGTCGAGAACAATGTAAAGCAAAAGGATAAAGGGAAGGCACAGAATTATTTGAAAATAAAAATAAGGTATTTTAACAAAAATTTTATTTTATTATTTATTTTAACAAATTAAAATTTCATTTTATTTTTATTTTAACAAAAATATGTAAAAAATTTTCACAATTTGAGTTATTTTATAAAATTGTAAGATCTATCTATCAGAGTGCTAATATATTCGCGCAACATTAAAATAGATGCAAAATTTGCTTATAAAACTATGGTTTTATGCGAAATAAAATTATCGCAAGTGTGATTGTTCAAATATAATAAATATTATACTTTGAATATTTTATATTTTTTTTGCATATCGTGTGTTTTGTAGATTGGAATTTTTTATAAATGCATAAATATTCTATTTAGACTCTGTAGAATCGAGCTTTCGAAATTATTCCATGAATGTATTAATACTCTATGTAGCTAGTTTAATTTTTAAGAAAATACACTTGTACCATTAAACATTCAAAATTATAATTTTAGAATGTAGAGAGATAAAAGAAAGAAAATATCGAACAAATCTTTAGATTTTGAGAATAAGTTAAATAATTGCTGTCTTCTTCACATTTTCATGCAAAATATCGTTTCGTACAAAATATATTTTCCATTTCGATTTTTTTTATCGCACGATCATGCTCGAGGTAAATCCAGAGGGCTTGATTCAGCGAGATTCTGTGGACGGAGGAAGTTTGGTTGGCGCGTCTTCAGCATGATAAACGGTGGCAGGTACAACAATGGGTTCATTACCGAAAGTTTAGCCCGGCTTGGGCCCCCTTGGCGAATCCTGGGCCGGCAAAGGGGTCCGGGTCGGTGACCTCTGCACACGGATGGCCGGCTCGCGGCACCGACCTTTGCGAAAAGTACACGTGCACTGAGCAAACGTCCCTTCTAACATGCGAGAAACCTTCTTGGAAATTATTTGTTTAAAATTCGTATTGAAATACACGCGAAAAATTAGAAAATTGTATACATATAAATTGCGATTTAGAAATTAAATTATTTTGGAAATTGTTGTTTCACAAATCTTAAATTAACTCTCTTTCTTGCACAACGAGAGCAAGGATACAATTTTCTTTTCGTTACACGTTACGGTAAGGGGCGATACGCGGCGTAAGAAAGAAAATATTGGAACATTGGAATTAATGATTGTTTCTGAAACTCGTGCCAATTTCAAATTACCTTTCGACGAACTCGTAAGGTGTAATTTTCTTTTCGTTACAGGCCGTGGTAGCAACATAGTCGCAGAAAAAAAAAATAAACGTATGCACGTCCATTGTGCGGGCACGCACGACGCAGAAGGGTTTTTGTTCCAACGTACCACACGCTCGGCAGCTCGTGTCATTCGCACGACGTCGTGACCTTCTTGCAATAAAAGACCGCGAAAGCTGCAAAACTCGGTTTCTTTTCACTCTCGACGAAAATATCCCGTTGAAAAGAAATTCTTGGAACTGTAGTTCAAACTTTCCTTGGAATCCCCTTTGCGGATCCTTCACACCGTGAACAGAATTCACTTAGAGAAATTCCCGATATTTTCAAACCGAGTTGTTCTTCGTCGCGTAAAAATCGACAATCGGTATATAATTTAAATTTAGAACAATCATCGATGGGGTCCTCGATAACGTTTCAACCATCCTCCTCTCGTCCGCCTTCGAGAAGGGGGAAAAAAGGACGAAAGAAAAATGGACAGTTTCGATTTAACATCGAGCATAAAATTAATGATCGTTTACGATTATTAATAGCCACGGTAAGATGGCCTCGACCGCATGAATTTCGCACGGTTATCGTGCCTCAACTTCGGCTCTTGTAATTGCCGCGCACCGTCCCGAGTGATAAATAATTTGCAAATATACCGCAACCGACAACATTGTACATAGGGGCGGCATCGATACAGCCACCGCAAGATTTATCGATTCGTTCGAATTGCCGTTTCGCGAACCGGCGACCTTGAATCCCTTTGTCTTGCTTCTTTTCTACGCACACCGCTCTATTAGTCCCTCCTCTCGTGGACAATCAAATCGCGTACTATCGTTTCCATCTGATAAGATTTATTGCCTCGGTTTGTCGAGGATAAACGTTGTTTAAACTTCGCTCGTTTAAATTGCAACAACCACTGACGAAACTTGTTTGTTATATAGGAAGCATGAAAAATAAAAGTGGAGAAGCGTGTACACTCTCTCTTTGTATCGAAACCAATCTTATTTTATTTTATTTTATTTTTATTTTTCTTTCGAGACCGGAATGATTCCTCGTTGAATGGAAGATAACGGAGATTCGAGAGATGGAGGAGGATGGAGGACGAGGGGGGGGGGAGAGAGATGCTATTGACCCGTTTGATTGATTAAAACGTCGAGCTCGTCGCAGTTGTTCGATCGCTAAATGAATTTCGTTCGCCGCGCCAGCCAGGTATACAAAGCGGCGCTTTAAATCTTCGGGGCTTAATAATCAGTCTGAAGGCTCGTAACTCTTCCCAGTGTATTCTTCGTCTCTAGAAACCGAGAGACGTTGGAGGCGATGGGCGAGAATGAAACGACGACGATGGCGAGGGCGATGCTGTGGTATCGGTCGATTCGAAGAAAATTCAAGGAGAAAAATCGAAACTCCAAGTGCGTGCATTAATCTATTCTCTTGTTAACGTTTTAAACCTATACATAAAAAACATTTTCACATTAGATATTTTCACATTAGAAATAATTCACGTCGATTCGGATAAGTGGAAGCCTGCAGGCGTTATTTGCCGTTTATTATTGAAGGCGCGTTATTGCGCCTCTGGTATTACGTGGCAATAAACGAGAGATTTTAATTACTAGTTCTATAAAACGGCGTCAATAAAGACATTGCACAGTCGGTACGGTAACTTGCTCTTCTTCTCCTTCGTTATCGGATAAATAATTCGAATAATAACCGTGAACGAATCTCTCATCTCTTTTCGCCTAGGCTTTCTCATCTCGGCATGAATCATTCCGACAACGATCCACATTCGCAAAAAGGAATCGTCGTAATTCATTATTAATTCGATCGTCATCCTCGGTCGATAATAAAGCGATCGTTTTAACGCCACGACCGCCATTAAAATTCTTGATGTTTCAATTGAATTTCAAACGGAGCGTAAAGCGCCGCAAACCATAGTACAAGCATCTCCACGACGCGTGTATATGAGCGGACGAGCGAGTAGTATAGGGATAGTTGGTGTGTCCGTCTGGCCGTTTATTATGGCACCGAAGGAAATTACGAACGAGAGTCGGCCTGTGGCCATCGCGGTAGCCGATTGGTGCGCGGCAATATGAACGAGTGGCGGCACAATATGAACGTCAGAATCGAAAATTCGAGAAAGTTCGAGTATCCTCTCTTAAGGATCGATTAAAGAAACCGAGTTTGAACAAAATAAAAATTTACACGAATCTACTTAACCGCAATACTCGGTTCGAATAGGATGAGAAAAGATTCGCCATACCGAGATATTTCGATAGTGAAAACAAACTTTCCAGAGTTTTATTCCTCGAACATATTCCTCCCCTTTGCACCTTTCAGTTATCAACCTGTAGAATTACTTTAATATTCCTTCGAAGAAACCCGTTCTCCTTAGCGAAACAACTTTTAACTCCCTTTAATATATTCTCATCGTTATCTCCCAGAATTTCCCAGAATTATTTTACCAACTCTCGGGATCCACTCATCTTCGCTCGTCGACAATTTCACTCTCAAAATATATTTTACACCCTCAGTTATCGGGCCCCTAAAATTATTATAACAACTCTCGATACATTCAACTGTGAAATATATTAGCGCCCCCCCCGTTTATTAACCTTCATTTTCAACGGCCGGGGAATCAGCGCCATCTGCGAATACGCCATCTAGAAATTCCCCAGGAATACATTGTTTCCCACGTGAAGGAGTGGAATCGCGCAAGTATGGACGGTATCGCGGAGGGCAGGCCGCGAGATTCTCTCCATCGGCAATTTGCATGACCGATGATCGTGCACTGGTGAACACCGGCCTGGCGTGGACTAGGTGCATCGTCATTACGCACTGGCCAGATACGATCAAACTGTCGGTAATGATAGTCGCGCGACCCGGCGCACGTACGACGAACGCGAGGGTCGCGTTTATTAAATTACGTCAAATTATTGGTACGCTCGGAGGGTCGATTATCGGGGCTGCTCGTTCGACCGCCAAGAATCGTTCTCCTTTTCCCCGATTATCACGAGAAACCGGCGCGAGGTGGTAGCCGAGATCTTCATGCTCTTGGACACGGCTCTTTGCCGATCTAACCTGACACGATTCCTTGCTTCGATGCAGCGGAAGGAAAGTGGCAAACGAGCTTGAGAAGTGGTTGGAAGGAAGATCTGAGATTTGAACTGGTTTTTAGATTTGAGGAGAGGATGGAACAGAATTTTTTTTTTTTTTTTACTTTTATATCTTGTCATTGTTATTTTATATTTATTTCTTCGATTATATTTAATCTCTTTTTTTTGCCGAGATCTATTTTTTTTTCTTCTGTGTCGTGGAACGAGATATATTAAGGATACATATGTATATATCGTTTTTTAATCGATGTTTCGAAGAAGAGATATATATGTATGTATAATTAATCATACGAACGATTTTCGATTTCAGATTCGAACCGACGAAGGATTAAAGAAGGCAAAGAGCGGTCCGGATGGGGCGTCGAGGATCTCCGAGATGTCTTCGATTAATCAAAAACTCGTAGCTCAAGCAAGGAGGGAGGGACGGATCTAGGATCCGTCGAAGATCCCACCATTTGTCCTCCTTTTTTTTTTTTTTTCTTCTTCTTTTTAATCCATTGCAGCCATTGCGACCACCAATCGAAAAATCTGACCTTTCGAAATATCCAATTTTCGCATTGGATCGCGAGAGATCGTTAGAAACGAGGAAGGAGGAAGAGGAGTCGCTATAGGACACTGCGACACTTTCCACGATCGAAACTTTGGATTCAACTTGAAGACGACGCTTGCTGGATGAAGTTACTCGAAGGAATCGAAAGTGGAAGTCGGAAGACAACGCTCACAATTCGTGATCCATGAAAAAGATCCGAGTTTTTCTAGCTTGATCAAATTAATTAAAAGTAAACGAAATGAAAGACGACGAAAAAGAAAATTTTGCACGAATGATCTTTAAATCCTTTTTTTTTTTTTATAAGCTTCGAAATACTCGGAGCATGTTTCTAATGGATCACGAAAAACTGGAAGAAAATTCATACAAGATAACGAGAGCAGCGTTATTTTCGAAACAAAGAAAATGAACGAGCAAATTCAAAATGGTCCATCGATCGATGAAACCAATGTACGAGGGATGATTTAATGAAATCGCTTCTGATAAAAAAAAAAAAAAAAAAAAAAAAAAATAGTAAGCGGTAGAAAATATGATATCGATTCTGGAAGCGATACTCGGATAGCGGGGAAAAATCATCCGACACAATCATTAGCAGAGAGATACGTGCTAACACGCGCCGTTAGTTAATCTAATAGGAAGCGTAGTTAAGGATTATAAATGCCATAATAATGACCAACTTCTTGTGGTTGTACTTAAGTCATATCTTTATACTTTACTATTTTACGTTTAAGGCCAATTAAGTATGTAAGTTGCATAATATTTTACTATCGGAGTATCTTCGAGTTAATTGCTAGGCATTTATTTCTTTATCTCTTTTTTGTTTGTTATTTTTTTTTTTTTTCATCGCGATGGTTTCCGGTACCGGAAGTGATTATATTCCGTGACGATAATCGTCGACACACTGGACACAGATGTAACGAATTCATCGTTTCTTTTTTTTTTTTTTTTTTTTTCCTTTCTTCGTTGAAAGGAGGCTTCTTTCTGATGAATATTCGCCTTTCGAGAAGTTGACAAATTACCGATCGTTTGTCACAGCTACGTCTTGAAGTTCGGCGAACATTCTACTTGTTATTCACAGAGACCGATGAAATATTAAGAAATTATTCTTTTGACTTTCATTTTTTAACCTCGGTCGATAACCGAGTAAAAATTCGAATGTGCAATGGATTTGTTCTACGATCTGTTGTTAGTCGGTACGTACTTGCATTATACTGCGTCCAGTACTCTAAACGAAATCGTCAAAGGCCTGTGACATCCGACAATTGCGCAAAAGAACTGCTTAACGAACTCTTTATCGGAAATCAGGTATCGAGACCTGTCGGTTAACAGTCCTGGCCAGACCCAAGACGCTCTGGACTTTGGTCTTTTGTGATTATTATTTAAGTAGGTTTTAAGCGTATGATAGATTAGCTGAAGTTTTACAATGTTTCTCTTCTATATTCTTTTCAAAAAACTCCGTTTCGCTTTTATCCTTTTTTTCCCGTCGATGAAATTTTGCGAGCGATAAATAATCAGCGAAACTATAAATAAACAATGCGAATGTAGTTACAAACATCGTTTGAAAGAATAGTAATAATAATGGAGTTCGTGAATCTAAAAGAAAATCAAGCGAGAAAAGAGATACATTTATACGATTTAAATATACCGCCAAGACCATTGCCTCTTCGATTTTAGAGCAACGGAGCAAAGTAGAACCGAAGAGTTCGATTCAAATGATGATATGAGAGTTAATTTTACGATAAGAATACGTTTTAATCCGTATGTCGATAATATTTCTTACAGTTCTCTGTAACATAAGTTTCCCTAGTTATATATAATGTTAAGAAGATGTAGATTTTGGATTCTCATGATAAACATTCTATTTTGCGTAATGAATACGAGTAAGAAGGCACTCGGTCCCCTTTACGATGGAACTCTGTGCGTTATAATTGTTCGTGGATAAAGAATGAATATTTCGTATGTCGACGTTCGCCGAGATTTTGCCAGGAGAACAGATTGCGATGCTACCAATTCATCGCATAAATATCCCTATATTACAACTTATCCCATATCTCTGTCCTCCTTTACTTTGCGTTCTTTCTTCTTTAAGGTTAGTTTTTTTTTTTTTTATAGGGCATTGGATGTATCATTGTCCATGTTTTCACGTTGTGCTTGACCAATGTGAAATGATGTTTCATTACGACGATACTGAGATGGTGCGTCGATTTTCATTATATTGTTCGTGTTTTCATGGCGAAATACTCGATGCGTAAGGGTCGAGGATCGTTGTGCCTTCGAATGCACCTGTTCGAATGATACGTTTTATCGATAATAAGAACAGACATCCACTTTGTGATTTCGTAAGCAGTTGTTCAATGTTTTCTTTTTTTTTTTTTATACTTTCCTTAATGCTTATCTAGAATAGCTTGTATACCCTAAAGAGTGTTTCAATAAAAGTGACAATGAAATCAAACTCGATTCTGTGTTTCCTTCATTATTTTTCTTTTTGGAGAATACGTAGAGAACACGTTCACTGACGATACTTTTTTAAACTGTATATAGAAGAATTTATATTTAAAATATATACAAATATATATAAACTTTTTGATAGAATAGAAAAGTTAATTTATCAAGAATTTAGTGCACATTGTAATTTTGAAACGATAAAAGTGTATTTAATTGACATTCGAGATCTCGTATACAGCCATGTGCTAAGAACGAACATAGATAGAGAGAACAAATACTAGAAGAAGGACAGAGATAAGATAAATTATATATAAAATAATATAAGATAATATAATATAATAATATATAATATAAGATAATAATATAAGATAAATTATATATAAAATATTGAAATCAGCGCCATCTCCAGAGTGCCGCAAACAAAACTTTTAAAAAAAGGATAGAAAATAGTGGGAGAAAGATGGAGATAAACTAAGAATTAATCGTTAGTGCCATCTCTTGAGTACTAAAGATTTCTTAAAAATAGGATAAAGTAGAACAAGAATTAAAAATTAGCGCCATCTCTCGAATGTTCCTAGAAACATAATTCTTTTTTCTATTAAAGTAATGTCTTTGGAACTCTAGAGATGGCGCTGATAGTTAATTCTTATTTTATTTCTATCCTTTTCCTACTTTTTTTCTATCCTTTCTTATGAGTTTCATTTGCGACACTCTGGAGATGGCGCTAATTTGAATGTTTTTATCATATCTCTGTCCTTCTCTCATTATTTTGCTTTCCTTGTCTAATTGCTTTGCATTTATGCGCTAGAGACAGTTTCCATATTTGATCGAAATCTGAATTTGCTATTGCTGTTTTTGAATCCGATATTTGAATTACTACTTTACCGCGTTTTTTATTTGTAATTTGTGTTGAATATTTTCAACAAATTATTATATTTCTTCGTGAATTAATATTATTCGATATCTATCGATATGTGAAATAGTTACAAACATCCGTTTCTAGTAATATATAAAATCGCGGGTGTTTATTTTCGTTCAAATATCCGGTATGCCGGGTGTGCGGTAATTTCCTTTTCATATATAACGAAAGGAAAATTCGCGAATATGGCATTACGTTACGAAAAAGTTGTTTTATGTCGTGGTTTATCGGAGAAAAATGATTCGCAAGAGGCATACGTAAAAACCTTGAAAACGGCAGGTTATTTGTGCGATTGTTTGCCTACTTTGCGCTTTGAATTCGTAAATATTTCGGAATTGAGGACATGTTTTTTATCATCATCTTCATACTATGGTAATAACATTATAAGTAAATTTAATTCTTTTTAAATTCAAATTTTTTTCATTTTTCAAACAATATATTCACAGGACTTGTCCTGACAAGTCGTCGTGCTGCAGAGGCAATTGAACTTTCTGCAAAAGAAGATCCTGATATTCTACTTCCCTGGAAAACTTTGCCAGTGTATTGTGTAGGACCAGCAACAGAGTCTTTTGCTAAAAGTCACTTAGGTTCAGAGAACTGCTTTGGTAAAGAGGCTGGTAATGCCAAAGAATTAGCAGAATTGTTAGTGGCCTCGATTGCAAAAAAGTCAAAACCTTTACTTTATCCTTGTAGTGAAATTGGACGCGAGACAATAGAAAAGACTCTTAATGAAAATGACATTAAAATTCATAAAATAGTTGTTTATAAAACTTTGGCTAGTAAAACTTTAGAACATGATCTATTAAAATTCATGGACAATGTGCCCAAAATCTTCATATTTTTTAGTCCATCTACAGTAGAATACATAGTAACATTATTGAAAAAAAAGTCTTATGATCTAAACAATATAAAAGCAGTTGCTATTGGACCTGTGACTAGACAAGCATTACTTGATGCTGGTTTTAAAGTTTTTGCCACTGCAAACAAACCTGATCCTGTATCTTTGTTGGATGCTATTAATAATGCTGATGAAAGTGAACTTAATGAAAAGACTGAATGAAGAAATTATTTACTGTTATACTATGTAAGTATATAATTGTCAATAATCTATTGGGACTATATTTAATTTGATAGTGTAAAAAGTGATAATTATTTTATTCCTAGAATATTCTATTCTAATCCTATATTAAACATTAAAAATAATTTGGTCACAATGGATTAAAGTATATTTTGTTCATATTTGTTCACATTTTTATATAATTTATATGTAATTTATTTTATTGGATGTGTGTTAAGATAAAGTTGGTTAAATTCAACCACTAATGAACAAATTTTATTTTTGTTATAACAATAAATATATTTTATTTTATTAACATTTTAATGGAAAAAGATAATTACCATCTATTTACAACATAACATGATCTAGCTCTTATACAACATTAACTATACAATAGCATATAATATAAATCATATTGTTTACAATATTAAAAATTGATACAATCAGGAAAATTATTTCTTTGTATAATAATGGAGTTTTCGAGCTTCGTTTCTCGTGATATATTGAAATGTTATATAAGTTTGAAAATAAAAGTTGGATAATTATTCGAAAATCGAGATCTAAAATAGAATTGATTCTTAATTCAATATTGTTCGATTAAAGCTCGGAGTTGTTTTTGTATTTTACCGAAGAAAAGAACAATGAGTAAAAACAATAGAGAGTTAAGAATCAAAACAAATAATTTGTCTTATAGTGTGATACGAGTAATTTCTCGATCAGTAGTAAATGGACAGCGGATATCCCCGTATATCGTCTCGTGCAGTTATCTAATTTTTACTTGTATTACTTATAAGTATTATATAGAGTAAAAGAACGAATAGTTTGTGAATTTGTGCGTGTCAGTCTTTACCATTAATCTCTATAGAATTTCCTATTGCTCCTCGCAAAGGTGTGTGTGTATGTGTGTACATAATTATTAGAAAATACTGTTCCTTAGAAATATTTATCATACGCGGAACGATTACGTTTCTCATCAGATACAACATCTGATAATAGATTTTATTTTTCCTAATTTTAATATCTACTTCGATTAACCACGTTACCAAGAAGGCACGAAATATCTGCTCCCACAATTGTAGATTGATTAGCATAGTAAGGCTGAGGTGGATTTCCTCCATTATTGTATTTCATTTGAACTGCAGTTTCGTAATCAGGTGCTGGTCTGTATGACGGAAGTAAGGCACGTAAATTATTAATGTCCGTTGACGATACAACGGGATAGGGTGATGTCGAAAGATCATTGTAACTAGTCCATCTTGTGTGACCTTCTGTATTTCTATTATCCAAATTTACTGATACAGCATGGTCTCCTGAATCGTTTGTATCGCTGTCCTAAAATATGATGCAAAATTTTTATTTGAATATGTTCTTGGCATAATATCGAGCATGAATGAAATAGTACTTACGAAATAACCATTAGTCGATCTCTCTATTGGTCGAGATTCTTGATGTTGCATATAAAATGTATGTTGTGCTATACACAAACGCCACACATATTTTGCATTACGTGATTCGGTAAATATGAATTGCTTTGGCTCTTCGCCTTCCGCTTGGCATTCTATTCTAAATGTCTTTTTGTGATTAATCACATTGCTTATATCTTTCCACCTATTATAAGTTTTGATTATATTTCATATTTTAATTATTATTATTTTATTATTATTTATTATTATTTTGATTATATTTCATATTTAATGTTTGTAAAATATTCTATGATATAAATACCTGTAGAATTGTGTTGTTTGTGTGTTAGGATATACAATCATAATTCCATTGATAGAAATTCCTAATATCACTTCATTGTTACCATTGTCCTATAAAAATTTATTTTTTAATATTCTTATGTCAAAAAATGCATAAATTGTAAAATTAGTATGAATACTTTAGTAGAGAATGTTTCATTTCCATATCCTTCTAATTGCATAACGATAGAAATGTATAGTTCTTCAGCTGCAGCTTGAGTAACACCCATTAGATTTTTATATTGACATACAGCAGTGTGTAAAAGAGAATCTTGACCTCCAGGATCTGCTTGAATAACATCCTGAGCAATGAAATAATATTAGAAATAAATAGAAAAAATTTAATTATTCTTTTGTAAATTTCCTTAATTACTTTAGGAAATAATGTACATTGCTGCAAGCATTCCATAGTATGTCGTTCTGCATCATAGTTACCAAATTCTGCTTGCATCGAATAGCTTGCTAAAAGTGTTGCTTGTCTAGAATTGCATTGAATTCTACCTTCTAAAATATCACTTTTCAGTTGAAGATAATAATGATACCTAAAAATAATATTTACAATATAAATATTTATAATTAAGAAATATAAAAATCAAAGACATACCTTGTCATTTCATCTTGAATGAGTTGCACATCTGTGACATAATACATAACTCTCAAATATAAACTGAAATTTTTGGCTTCTTTTTCCAATTGTTTTTTTAATGGTTTATCCATGTCAACCCATCTTGGAGATGGAGAATCATGCCGAGAAATGTATCTTAGGCCAAAGAATTCAGGTTGTCCTAGACCTAAACGTTGAGTTATATTGTCTAAACATTCTTGACCAAGGCTATCAATACTCAATGTGCATTCTATGGAAGTGGTATCCAATAATTCTACGCAGATTACATACTGATTTTTGGAAACCACGTTATATTGCCGACTTTTTTTCAAATGGAATTTAAACGGCATTTTAATAATACGTTTGACTGAAAAAAGATAGACACAAAATTAAACCAACTTTATTAAAATCAAATCTTTTATGTATTCGCCGAGTTAATTTTTAAAAAGTTTTTCTAAAAAATTATATGGAATCTATCAATTTAATAATGAAAAAACGATAAATAGAATATAAAACAATATAGTAACGATGCACTTTTATTGAGACTAGTAGAGAAAATCAAATATCTACAATCGAACACCAAAGTAGTTTACATTCCACGATACTTTTACTTTTAATTGAAATACATGTACATACATGTACTTTATACATTCCACTCTGTTGAGCATGAGAAATGTATAATTTTTCACATTTAATAAATCGAAAGCATTTCTAACCTCGTTTTTCACGTCATTAATGCTAGTTACAAAACTGCGATATACAGTTCCTAAAGTAAGTGTCCTTGACATGAGAGTGAATAAAATGGTAGATTTTTTTATTTAAGACGAGAATTAAAAACAATATTAAGAATTTGATAACGAATAATTCGATTATATAAAATGTATAAAACAAGCATATTAATAACAAATTATAAGAATAAGATACTTTTATCGAAAGTATTCCCCAAATAATTTTTAACTGGACAAATCGTATGTAGATGATTAAATGAAAAATTCGATTAATATTATATTTTTTACTGAAAAATCAATTGAATTTATAGTCGAATTGTTGAAAGTTGTTTACATTATTCAGAAATAGGAGAAACTATTCACTAGAATTAAATATTACTAGATTCAGTTACCGAATAAATTCCCTATAAATCTCATTATGCAAGTTACTCAAATTCCTCGTACATAATATGTGCATGATGACTAATGGTCTTATCGAAATTAATCGCACGCCTTTTATTGCAAATGTTTTTATCGCGTTGGATCGAATAAAATTACGTATTTCATGATAACGTGAATGTAACGCGTGCAAAATTCCATCTGCTAGAGTTTTTATGTTTTACATCATGAAAATTAAAATTTCTAGGACAAACAAACATAAAAATAATTGGGAAATTTCAAAATATTATTATATATTTAAAATAATAAATATATTTAATAACAATTAACAAATTAATATTGCAATGTATATAATGCAACATTTGTCTAAAATACAATCCAATATCTTCTTAAATATATTTTATAAAATACACGTCTGTTCAACTAGATAATTATTTGTTTTCTTCAATTTCTATCTTTTTAAATAGAATAAAATTGTGTGGCTGTAGAAGATTGCATTTCTATTTGCCCCATTTTGAATTGTAGTCGATGCAGCCATCGTAAAAGTGTCGCATTAGATTCTCGCCGAGACGAAGCAAAATGTTCAGACATTTTGTTGGGTGGAAAATCTCGACAATTTTGTAAACGAACTTGCAAATGTCCTGGTAACTAATTATAAATAAATTTTTCATAAAAAATCAATATTATCAATATCGTCATGAAAAAAAATTGTTAAGAAAAAAAACAAATCGTTTTAATAACTTGTCTTACCTGAACATGATGCGAATATAGAATGGGACTCCAAAGAGGTAATAATTTACTTAATAAAATAGATCCACATTCTAGAAGAGCTTCGAGTAAGCTTAAGAAATGCAAATTGACCATTTCGGCTAACTATAAAATCAAATTTTTATTTAAGAAACAAAAAAATCATATTTTTTAATATTTCCATGATTTCTTCACTTACGACTTTCGAGTATTCAACTAATTGTAATATACAAGGCGTTATCTTGCCCCAGAATTCCAACAAAATGTTCATTGTAATATGGCCTTCGTTATTCGATGGATTCTTTGATAATTCTTCCAAATACATCGTCCATAGCTAAATATGAACAATAATGCTTACGAATTACGGATTCAAGTATTTGATAAATATATATACATACCTGACACAATATGAAAGCATGGAATAATGAGGACATGTGTAAGACTGATGCTTTAGATTGTTCCGGGAACCCGGAAAATATAACTTGCACATGATCCGCGACATGACAAGATACTTCTTGCGGTATTGGTTGTGCAGATGGGATCGACTGGCCATGGTTGTTATGAGTGTTATTGCCAGCGTACATCGAAGTGTGCGTAAGGGAGCCTAACAGCAACCATGATAGTAATCTGATATGACCTATACAGTCCACATATTCTCGAGCTCTGGAAATGACATTAATTTCAATATTTTTTAAAACTTTTGATTTTTTTTCTGCATTGAATATCATCATCAAACATAATTACCCTTGTTGTATCATAGAAGGAGCGCTGTAGAGCCAAGGAAGATAGCGAGCCACAGCTCTGTTCTCTCTATTGTTGCCTCTGGTG